GATGCTGTTTTTAGCAACACTACTACTACTTCTACTACTACTACTATTGTTATTGTTGTTGTTAGATTATTGGTCACTTTCATGTCAGTTCAGAATGGTTACACTGGTCTGGTATACATGAGAGAGTATCTTAACCAGCTTGTGCCAGTAACAGGATAGCATTGCTCATCTAAAACCAATTAAGACCATCTTGGAATTCAAGCTGGTCCAAATTAGTCTAATTTCAGCGGGGTAGACACAAAGCTTCAGCACCAGCAGATGTAGACATATACTGTACAAGATACTCTTAATTGCCAGATGATGGAGGTAGAGCATCAGTACTGCTCTCCTTGGCATGTTCAGCACTTACAAACTGCATATCGGATCACCACAGTTGAGCAGTGATCCCTTAGTTTTTAGCTATGACTATCAGAAATTCTTCATGCTCTGAAGATTGCCATTGAGTACTGTGGAACTTAATATAAATGGCCTTTCAGTTGTTATTTTCAGCATCTTTGCTCCAAAAACCCCTCTTTTATCTCTGTTTAGAGTTCCTATATGTCTATACATGGTTATTTGGAGAAAGTGTATATTGGTTAACTGGTTCTTTGAAACAATTTAATTAAATTCTTTTTACATATGTTAGCACATGGCACAATAAAAATGATTTCAAAAAAGAATAGCGCCTTACTGTATAGTTCCCAGCAAGTGGAAGACAATAAAAAAAGAAAAATTCCCCAGGATAAAATAAGATACAGTGAGATATGATAAGCAAGCAGCTCTCGGAGAAACCAACATCCAGTTGGGGAATCCCACCTCACCTGACATGTTTCAACAAATTAATAAAACATGCAGGATTGATAATGAGAAACATCCTCTTTTGGTGACAGACACTGGTTAAGATCTGAAACTGAGTGAGATAAATGCCGATGAAAAGGAGCTGTGGAGTTGAAAACAGGGCAAGGCCAGAGCCAGTGAACCTCAAAACTGGTCTCTTGAAGGTGTGGTTAGAGAAACAGAAGAAGTTACTTAAGTGTCCTCTTAGATATTGATGGACTAGACCATAACATGATATATATGTAAGAAAAATGCTATGGAACTGGACAAGTAAGCAGTGGAAAGATGATTGGAATGTACTCGGCATTAAAATGTAATAATCAGGATCAGTTATGAATACATTCTCTACTTTATCAGCATCATAATAAGAACAGAATGTTCCATAACTAACCATAACTTCTCAGGTGGAAACTCTTGGTCTAAAAACAAGGTCTTACAGACAAAGTTTATAAGTGAACTGTTTTGATCCTGGAAATTACTTAATATTTTGTGTTAAATCTCCTTAATGTAATCCACCAATTAAAAAAAAAATTTATCTGGAGAAAAGCTGTGTGTTAGCTATGAAAAGTAATGACATGCTGTCTAATAATAACACCAAAAGGGAGCATGTACATACAGAACAACAAAAGGCCCAAGACTGAGCCTTGTTGCACACCATACAGTACCTTGTGTTAAGTCAGACAGCTCATTTACACAAATAAAATGATGTAGTTGACCAGTATATAGATCTTTTTTCTGAAGAACTAGGAAATAAAAAGTTCTATGTGGAACTTAACAATGTTCTCCGATGACATCATGCTGAAAAATGTATTCCACATGAAATACTTTTTTTTATTGCACATGGCAACATTTAACAGGTGTTTCCAGTGTTACTGTAAAATTACTAAGAATCTTACTTGATTTCCAGTATGAATAGTGTTCGTGTATGTTTGTGAAAGACCTGAAGATGAGAGAAAGCGAGAAAACCTGCTCAAACGTGTGGCTAGTCAGAGTGCGGTGTGGTTATCATGGCTGTAGTAGCTGTAATCTACAGGAAGTTTGTTCACAGAGATAATAACCAAGACAGCCAGCTGTCATCTCAGTTTTGTTACGGTCATTCCGTTTGATTCACTCATCATGCCCTGTGATGTGTGTGTATTAGATGAATGATGTATAACTTACCTTTAGAGAGTCATGCTTTTATATGTGTGGCAGCCAAGTTAGATCATTTTAAAGTACTTAAATAAGGTACAAAATAAGAGTTGCGAGAAACCTGAAAAATTGCCTGAAAAATAAATATATTCGTTTTTTTTTTTTTTTTCAACAAATGGTCTGTGATAGTAACTTTTGAACAATAAACATTGATTGTCAACCTCAAGTGGTCAGGTTAAACATTTTTATATAACAATTATTTTTTTATTCATGTTATGGATTAGGTTTGAAACTTTTTATCAATAAAATTTGGGACATGTTTGAATTCAGTACAAACTTGTGATTTTGGAATTGCTTAGAGGGAGGGGGGGCATTATACATAAATAAAATAAACAAATAAATAAACATCAAAAATGAAAAAAAGATGAAAGCAAATCAAATATAAAAACTTCCCCAGAATGGATAGAATGGTTCCCAATATGGTTAAAAAAGTATTCTAAATTTGGAACCACATCTGAATCATTTATTTTTGGGTGTCACAATTTGTATGCAATGTTCGGTTTAATATAATGGAGGACAATCATGTGGTAAGCAGGTTATGCACAAAATGCAGGATGCAGATAAACATGACATTTTTGGTAAATAAATTCCAAAGGCCAAAATTTTGTGAACGAGTGTGAATGAGCAACTTTTTATAGTAACAATAATATTGTTACTGGCAATTTTTCAAACAAATAGCTTCTAATGCTTTTAAAAAGTGTATACTTGATTTGACTGTTTGAATATTCTGAAAGATTTTTCTTTATTAAAGTTGGTTTATTACATTTCTAGAATCATCCTTACGCAGTGGGCAATTGATGTTGAAAAGATGTCAAATTGACATCAAAATTAACGTAAAAAAACCAGATCAATATGCAAATCAAACTGACATCAAAAACTTGACATGACGTTGATTCGATGTAAATTGAACATCAAAAATATTGGCCTACATATACATTAAACCAATTTCTATGTGGAATTAACTTCCTATTTTCACACTGGAAGAAATGGCCATCCAAACTGAATTTAAAATGATGTTACACCATTTTGATCAAGTCTTGACTAATATTTAAGGTGAAACTGATGTCAAGGTGCCCGCTGGGTAACATTTACAAACCAATAAGTCCATTTTTCAAAACAATTTGTACAAACAGCACTACACAGTGTTGGATTACCTGCAAAAACCTGTCATTTTCTCAAAATCCATCTCTCAAAAGTAAGTATTTATGTGATTAAACATATCAGTGCCATCAGAATGACAAGTCTTGTGTAATTGTTCACAAACAAGATATGAAGCATTACAGCAATTATACAGTATTAAAGTACAGTGCACCTTGTCAAAATACCTGTTCTGTCTATGAAACATTTGAATGACTGAGGAAACAGTTTTTCTCCCAACATTCAACCTTTTGACCCACCTTGGCCATTGTAGGGCCATGATTGAATATATGGTCCATAATAGTGGCCCTCATTTAATCAAAAATGTCCCCCGAAAAGGTACCTAAGCGACTGTCTAAGGAAAGCCCTTTGTGAGTGATTACTGTTAACAACATAACAAAACATACATCTAAGTTCAACTTTTCTCAAGCTGAATGATGGTGTTGTGGCTGTTGTCCTCTGTAGAGTGAGTCAGTTAGAGAGCTCCTCAGGACTGTTGTGCAACAGAGACAGTGTGTGTGTGTGTGTGTGTGTGTGTGAGAGAGAGAGAGAGAGAGAGAGAGAGAGAGCGTGTGTCTGTGCAGATGTAACGGACTTCCTGTGGTGCCTGAAAATACCCTGTAATGCATGTGTGTGTGCGTGTGCGTGTGTGTGTGTGTGTGTGCACGTGTTTATGGAGTGTTTTCAATAAGCACATATGTAGAGTATTCTATTCAAAATAGATGATAGATAGACTGAAAAAAACAATTATGTAGAAAATAATGAAGGACTTACTTTGAAATAATTTTAACTCAGAAATTGCCAGTAAATGTTTACACATAATTACAAAGAAATGGCAAGTAACAAATAAATATGACATTTTGAAGTAGAACAACTAAAATAGTATTTTCTTGCAAAACATACTTCAATAGCCTTTGGGGATAGATAGATAGATAGATAGATAGATGATGGATAGATAGATGGATGGATGGATGGATGGATGGACTTTAATTTTATTTAGTTATAGTTTTATTCAGTTTTATTTATAATGAAAATACAATAAAATAATTTAAAAAATGTATTTTTTTTCTCAAATTTTTCCACTTTTGAAACGATGCCAGAAACACCTAATGTCAGTCGAGTTTTGCATATGAAAATCCAGGCCAAACACAGAATAATGCATTTGTCTATTCTGCAATAGTAGTTGCTTCCTCAAAACCTGCGATAACAGTGTGATGCTTTGATTAAAAAGGGAACAAAGCTCTCTCAGAACTTCACTTTGGGCGAACGCTGAAGTTTATGATTCTCAGAAAATAGCGCATGTAAAACTTTCCCTCTGATTGACTGACTCAAGGCCACAACACACGGCCTATTTACTCAACAACTCATAAACACAAAAACAGTGTTTTTCTTTAGCTTTGCTCATACTATTACAAATACACGTTTATTGTATTACACAACAGAACAACGCGGCAGAAACTGGTCTATATAATCCATGATTAAGATCTTACAACACCCTGAAGCGGTGAAAATAGTACAATATTCTATTTAAGAGCAGAAAGTTTGATGTACTTTTATTTAGGCAGGTCTGGAGTGTGCACACAATATATTAAATAATCTTTCTAAAATGGGTCAAATGTATCATCTGTAAACTTTACTCATTAATCATTAAAACATATAATCATCTAAGAGACACACATAAAGCAAACCCATCAACTGGATCATGATTGGCCGAAATCCCTTGACAGTGTCACAAATGAAAAATCATGAGTCGTCGCCACATTTTGACCAATCAGAGTCCAGATGCTTCAGTGAGGTCATCTTAATCACTTATGGGCAATACAGGAAATTTAGTCTTTCTCACATCAGGACGGTGAAGCTGAAGGCAGAAGAGTTTGAAAACAAGATTTGACGCATTTGCGATACCACAGTACAGCGCTCTTGTGAAGTAATTTCCACGTTATGCAATATTCTGTACACTGGTGGGAAACTGTGAGATAGACGCCACAGGAGAAGGTATATGAGTGAAGGGCTTCATGTTGCATTACAGAATGGAAGGCTGTGTTATTTCACCTGTAAGTACATCAGAGATTGCATTCTGTTTCAAACATTTGAAACTTTTCCAGGCAAATCTGAAAAATTATTTTTTTAAAAACTCATTTTTTACTTGTCTTTTTGGTAATTTAGTAAGTTTTGTATAAATACAATTTAGTAAAGCTTTATATAAATAGGTAAAAAGCAAAAATGTGGAGAAAAAAAATGAATGAATTTAATTATTTATTTTTCAGTTGTCAGAAGAATTAATTCCGTATGATCCAGATGCTCGGCCGATATATGACTTCTACCCGTATCTCAGTACTGACCCTCAGACTCATCCTGGTGAGCTTGAGCTTTTTGTTTTGTGTGTGTGTGTGTGTGTGTGTGTACTAGTCAACATTTTAAGTGGATCAAAACCTTTCATTGTCCTAAAACCTAAAACCAAAATGTGTTTTATCTTAGGACAACTTTGATGAACTTTTTTTGATCCACTTCAATTGATGACTACTACTACTTCTATATATATATATATATATTGTTGTTAATTCATTGTGTGATGATTCTCTGTTTGCGGTTCTAAATATCCTGAACTGGTTTGTTAGATACTGAAAAAACTGAACTGAACTAAACTAAACTAAACTAAACTAAACTAAACTAAAGTAAATAAAAAAATAAAAAATAAACTAAAAAAAAAATAAATAAAAAAAAAATAAAATAAAATAAAATAAATTAAATTAACCTAAACTAAACTAAAATAAAATTAAATTAAATTAAATTAAATTAAATACAAAAATAATAAAATAAAATAATAAAATAAAATAAAATAAAATAAAATAAAATAAAATAAATTTAACTGAAATAAAAAAATTAACTAAGATAAAAAAAACTAAACTAAAAAAAAAACTAAAATAAAAAATAATTAACTGAAATAAAAAATAACTAAAATAAAAAATAAAATAAAATAAAAATACATTTCCCCAACAACTTATTTTAAATTTAACTTCAGAATTGATTCTCCCTTTTTGTCATGCAAGAAAGTGGATGGGACTACACAAGTGTTCATGGTCATCACAGTGAATTTGAGCCGCCTCAAGGAAACCATTTCACTGAGCTGCATCCCAGCACATACCGCTACGGAGACGTGGAGTCCTTCCATCCAGCCGTAGATTCAGGGATGGGGACACTTTTACCTGTCCTTCCTCCACAGGTTAGTCAGCAAATCCGCAAAATCTATGAATAAATGTATATCTATGAATACAACTCTATCTATCTATCTATCTATCTATCTATCTGTCTTAACTGTGGCCTTTCAACAGAAGTACAGAATTCATTATATTCTATTCAGTAAAATAAGAAAGATATTAAAGGTGTGCTCAATTTACTTTAGTTTTTAGTCTTCAGGAAAAATGTTCAGTTATTAATACTGGTTCAGTGACTGTAATCAGAGGAAAGGTCTGAAAGAAAGAGAAAGAGAGATGGGCAGGATGTGAGCGGAGACAGACTGATTGCTCAACACTATCTTTTCCTGACTAAAGACTGCTGCTGCTGCTGCACACATTTACACAAGACCTGCGAGCCGAAGACAATCACAGTCAAGCCTCTGAATCTGATGCAAACTAGGAGTTTTGAATTTGCTAGAGTTTCAGCATTTGATATTTGAACATACAGTTTCAGACATAAAGCAGCTCATCAACACATACACTGCCAGGAATAATTAAGCTCACCAAACCTGCGTTTATTTGATCAGAAATGCAGTAAAAGCAGTAACACTGGGAAGTATTGTTACAATTTAAAATATATGTTTTATATTTTAATATATTTTAAACTGCAATTTATTCCTGTGATGGCAAAACTTAATTTTCAGCATCCTCAGTGTCACATGATCCTTCAGAAATCATTCTAATATGCTGATTTGCTGCTCAAAAAATGTTTTATTATTATTATTATTATTATTATTATGAATATTAAAAATGGTTGTGCTGTCTAATATTTTCGTGGAAACTGAGATACTTTTAAAGCTGTATTTTCAGCATCATTACTCCAGTCTTCAGTGTCACATGATCTTCAGAAATCATTCTAATATGCTGATTTGCTGCTCAAAAAATGTTTTATTATTATTATTATTATTATTATGAATATTAAAAATGGTTGTGCTGTCTAATATTTTCGTGGAAACTGAGATACTTTTTTTTCAGATTCTTTGATGAACATAAAATTCGATGAACAGCATTTATTTGAAATAGAAATAACATTATTATTATTATTATTATTATTATTATTATTATTTTCAATCTTACTTGCCCGGTAGTGTATCAGTTTCCACAAAAAAAAAAACTTTTTAACATTGAAAATTATATGAAATGTTTCTTAATCAGCAAATCGGCATATTAGAATGATTTCTGAAGATCATGTGACACTGAAGACTGGAGTAATGATGCTGAAAATTCAGCTTTGATCACAGGAATAAATTACATTTTATCATATATTACAAAACGAACACGCACACACAAAATAAACACGTAATAAAATTAGGCTTCTCCATACAATTTAGCTTCCGTTTTTCTTAAACCACTTAAGCACAGACCCCGCCCACATGCATTCTAATGATTTGATTGGTCATGTAAATCACAGTGTAATGCTTAAACAAACGCTAACCTCTAACCCTAAGCCTAACATTGCCTCTACTTGTGTCTAGTTGTGGTCATGTCTCAATAGCTAAATGCTGTCTACGCTAATAATGTCAACGAAGTTCTAAATCCATTCGTATCGTTGTCGGAAGTATCGCAAGTGCATGCATTACAGAAATAAACCTGGGCTTCAGTTCACTGTCAGTGTCGAGTCGCATCCAGTGTAGACAGTATCATTTATTATAATGGGTTCGCTTTGATTTTCTCACATTGTATTTTTTATATCATCTAAATGACAGTTGCTCATGCAGCACCAGGAGAAGTAGTGATTAAATGTGCATTTTTGCTCACTTACATTGAAACCAAGTGTAAATGAATATAAACGTTAATTTTAGATACACCCCTCCAAATATAATTCAGTAATAAACAGGCCATCTCTAAATGTGTTTGTGTGATTCTGCTGATAGAAATGAAACTTTGTGGTTCTCTGGGCTGATTTGGAAGCAAAACGTGATGCGCACTTGATTTGTAAATCTGGGAGCACACCATTGTGTGTCCCTTTCTGTTGACACTGAGTTTTTCTACTTCCTCTTTCAATGTAAAGTAATTCAGTGGTTTCCACGTATTTGATATTTATACAAGATCATGCAAAACCAGCATTTTTTATGCTTGACAATAAGTGTGGGGGAATGTCCGATTGATACACTAATCACAAAACATCACCTGATCATTTGCATTTGTTTGATATTTTGCTTTATATTTTGCATTATCCAATATCCAGTGAAATTACAATTTAGACAACACAGACTCTTGACAGTTTGTAACTATTGCACACTTTAGCAAATGGATGCCAAATTCTTTAAAATCATGAAATCTCATTTGGACTAGGGGTGCAGTTTCACTATTTTTATTACAAATAATATATTTTTGACTGTTTTGAAAAAACGTTGACAAATTCATCTAAATTTGTATTATCTCATTGGTTCGTTTTCTATGCTCATGCCCACTGAGGGGTAGTTCTAGGGTACAAGCTCACGCTTTTTTATTTAAAAATGTCACGTTTTGGCAAACTGGTTGCAAATTCTTATGAATTCATACAATCTCATTTGTTGTTTTCATATGACCTGCTCATGCCCCAATAAGGGTTATGTTTAGGCTGCAGGTTCATGCTTTTTTTTTTACTTAAAAATTGCATGTTTTTGTATGTTTTCGGAAACTGGTGACGAATTCATGTGAATTTGTACGTTTTCGTAAGTCCCACTGAGGTTTAGGTTATGGATGCAGTCTGGGTGGAACAGGGGCTCAGCACTGTTACCTCACCGCATGAAGGTCCCTGGTTTTGAGTCCCGACTGAGCCAGATTTACATGTTCTCTCCCCTTGTCAGGGGGTTTCCTCAGGGAGCTCTAGTTTCCCCTGCAGTCCAAACACATGCAGGTTAGGTGGATTAGATACAGTTAACAGCCATAGATGTGTCCTAATTCTGAGAACTTGGACCGAGTTGGGTAATAGCATTGATTGCTTTGATTGTATGGCTTCATGTTTTAGTATAAGGAGCCACAAAAGCGTTAAGGCAAGACTGATGATTATTGGTTTATCTCTACAGTATACTTACATCCCCCACCCACTGTACCAGCGGTCCCCCGTCCCCCACTGCAGTACTGATGATGAGGACCCCGGGGGACGCAGTCCACCCTTTGAGGTGTCCGAGGGTGAGGAGGACAAGGACAGACATCCAGGCATCTCCAGCTCAGGTGAGCTGCGAACATAAAGGTCTCGAGTCCAAGACACTGTTTTCATGGTCTTGGTCTTGTCGTAAACTCAACTTACTTAGGTTTCGGCCTGGACTCAAATGAACTGGTCTCGACTGCTATAACATAGTACAGTAGCACTCATATTATTTCTGTAGCATGATTTTTTACAAGCACTTCCAGAACGTCTGGCCCCTAAACTTCCATAATAAGGTAATACACAGAGGTTAATTAATGCTATCTAGTACTAGGGGTGTAGCATTAGGGCCTTTCGGAACTAAAGCGGTGCGAAAGGCCCTATTCATAGCAAAAATTTTCGGTACGGGTCTTTTGGTTCGGTACGTAGCCTATGTTTACTGAACAAATTAAATACAGCATTGTTTTAACCACTGCACGAGTGGAACTTCTTTTGAAACTTCCAGTTTTGTATATTGTTACTTTTGATAAGAAAAGAAAGAGTCTCGTCCCTTACCAAAAAGTAGTATACTTCAAGTTTATTTTATTAAGTATACTTAAGTAAGGTTCAAGTATATTTTTAAGTATACTTTATGTAGTAAGTATACAAATATCAGTGTACT